GTTAAAATCATGAATGTCAGGGAGTGACAGAACTCCATAGGTGATTTTATGGCCACAGGACAATCTTGACACAGGTGCGCTTTCTGATGCTAGGTTCCTCTTTGCTAGATCTACAAAACAAATAGCTTGTGTTGCCTGCTCTGTGTCAAAACCCAAAGAAATATTCAGCTCCAGAGCTTAGCTCTCTCTCATCAGATGTCCACCCTCTTCTCATCCCAGCTGACTTATCTCCTGCCCTTCTCAGGGGCAGCTTTCAAGTCTCACATCTAGAGCTCAAGGGCAAGGTGACCCTACATTTCCTCATATTTAGAAAGGTTACTGGTCTTTGCAAAGGAAGGGAGGCAGCCTAGATTGCTAGGACCCCAGGGTAAAAATCATATCACATATCAACCCTCTGAAGAAGGAGGAAGGGTTTTCTAATAATATATCTATGTAAAAGAGATTGTGTTAACTCCAGAAGTTTCTCAACATTGGTTGTATGTGCTGTGATAATCATATAAAATTAATGCAGTTAATAGAAGAGTTTCTGTGATTAGGTCACTGGGGACAGAGTATGTAGCTATTGCAAAGTGTATAAACTACAATAACTTGAAAAACATAAGAAGCATGCCATTTATTACTATATACAAAAAGCTTCGGAACAGTGAAACATCAAATACTCAACAAACTACTACTGAGCATTTCTGTATCAGGCCATGTGCAAAAACAAAACAGCCTCTAAAGATACAACAGTAACTTACATTATTGCACCAGACCAGAACTCACCATGTGGTGAATATTTAGGGGGGATACGAATGTTTTTTGAGACTGAGTCTTGCTGTGTAGAATACATTGGCCTGGAAATTATGAGTGATCCCCCTGTCTCTGCTGCTCAAGGGAAATACTGTGTTATTTCAAAACATGAAGTGGAAATGAGATGGTTCAGTGTTTGAATGCTTACTACTCTTGTAGAGGGCTGAAGCTTTGTTTACATCTGGATGCTCACACCACCTGGATGTAACTCCAGCTCTAAGGAATCTCTGGCTCCCTCTTCTGGTCTCTACAGGCACCCACATGTACTTCACATACACCCACACATATACATACAAATCTTTAAGGGCTGGAGAGATGGCTAAGCAGTTAAGGGCATATACTGAACTTGGAGAGCACTGGAATTCAGCTACCAGCACCTACATCAGGTGGCTCACAACAGCCCGTAACTCGAGCTCCAGGACATTCAATGCCTTATAGTATCCATATGCACATAACCCGCAGGCAGGCATGCGCACGCGCACACATGTTTTGTAAAAAAAAAAAAAAAAAGTGCATACAGTCAAACCTGCCACACTGAAAATGCTGGGCACAGAGATAACGACGCTACATACCACTTATGAAGAGGAGAAAAGAATGTAATGCATAGTATAGCATACATCCTCACCCGTTTAAGAAAAAAAAGTCTTGAAAACTGATGTAAGTAGGAACAAGAAAATAAATTGACTTCGATTTTTAAAAGATATTTTCATATAATATGCTTTAAATCCTTGGAAAATGATCAAAAGGCTGAAATTGTTAAGACTAGGTACCTGCCCTACAGATTAAAAAGACCAGGTCCCAGTTCACCTTGAGCCCCGCCCATATTGCTTCAGGAGCCAATAAACACCGAAAAGTCCTCAGAATCCCGCCCTCCTGCCCAATGCAGAGATGGATCTGCACTACTTTTAGCCTTTAGGGCAGCAGGTGGCGGGGCCCCGCCCTCTTCCCCCACCAATTGGGGTCAGAGCTAATAGGGACAGGCCGAGAAGTAATGGGAGAAGTAGGAGTAAGTCCCACCCATTCAGGAACCACAACTATGCTTGGTCAAGGTGGTGATCCAGAGTCCAGGAAAATATCCCACCCCCAGGTTTAGTCCTTCCAATGGAATGGGAACGTATCTCAGCGTGAAACTGCGTAGGGACCCAATGGGGAAAGAATTTTCACGCTACCAAACAAAAATTGGCCCTGCGTTGGCAGAGGCAGCCAATGAGATGCACAACGGGACCCGCCCCCGCAGCCGGCCATGGCCAATGGGACCGCGCCTGCAGGCGACACTCTCGGGAAGATGGCTGCTGCTGTGCTGCTGGCTGTGGGTTTGCGCGCTGCGCACAGGACCCTGGCGGCCGCGGGGTCCCGGGGGGCGCAGGTGAGAAGCAGCCAGAGGGACGAGGGATGTTGCAGGCACTGGCTCGTTCTGGGGCCGGCATGCGCGGCACTCATCCCCATGGAGCCACTGCCTCCTAACAAGGGTCAAATTTAGGGACTCTGCACAGGGCAGGTCTGACTCCAGTGCACGAGAGAAGCGATCTGGCTGCGACCGCTTCCCGGAACAGCCAGGAGCATCTCGGTTGAGATGGAGCAGGTGCTGCTGTCCGGGCGCCTGCTTCAGGCTGCCTCAACCGAGTCCCTTGCAGGAAGTGAGTGCTCCCTTTTGGGAGCTAGCCGGCTGACTTCCTCGGACCTCTGGCCCTATAATGTGCCCCAGTTTTGCGCCTTCTTCTTCCACACACCACCACACGCAGCAGCGATTTAATTTACCCCACTGTTTCGCTTCAGTGTAACGCACTGACCTGTGGGAAACTGGGATTTTCCTACCTCCTATCCCGTCTGGTACAGCCTAGTTCACTTAGGTGAACTCTTACGTAACTCCGCTGATTCACATGACTGGAACTAAAAATCCAGTGTAGAAGCCAAGCATGGTGGCACATTCCTATAATCCCGGCATTTGGAAGACTGAGGCAGCAGAATTACCAGGACTTTGCCAGCTCGGCCTGCATAGCAACAACAGCAGCAAAGCTGCACAGTAAGATTGACACCTAAATGAGAGATCAGCCAGTGTCAGGACAAATATATTAAAAGCCTAAATCAAGTAACGAGGCTTAAAGATCAGGATGCATAGTAGAAATACATGGAAACAGGAAAGGGCTTTGACCCTCTTAGGGTGGGATTCAAACGGTGCTTTGAAGTTGTCAGGGGGATTCATCTGATGTATTCAGGGGTAGCAAAGGAACTGAGGCCTCAGTGTTGTCTTGCTTGCTTTTGGGGACAGAGTCTTACGGATCCCACACCAGCCTAGAGTTTCTATGTAGCTGATCCTCCTGCCTCCCTGTCCTAGGTGCTGGAATTACAGATGTACATCTCCACACCCAGATAAAGACTTTACTCTTGAAACTGCCATTCTGAGTCTTTTTCCTGTATGATGCTAGATTTCTTAGATACCATTACAATAGTCAGTTGCACTCACAAATCCTACATAGGAATTACCGACTGTTCTGTAACCAGGTCCACCATCTGGCCCATTTGCTGCTCAGGCTTTGCAATCCAGGACTTTTTCCCTGGAGTGGAAGCACTAATGGGTTCTTAGAAGAATGAAGTTAGTAACACTCTCAGGGCCCAGTTTCTTCCAACTCCAACTGAGTGTGTGGAAAAATTACTGCCAGTTCTCTCCCTTGGGGTCACTGGCCCCATCCTCAGGTCCGAGGAAATGCAGGTGTGACTGATGGGAGTGAAGTGGCCAAGGCCCAGAAAGCAGCTCCTGGAGGAGCAGCGCCAACCATCTTCTCCCGGATTTTGGACCGAAGCCTCCCAGCTGACATTCTATATGAAGATCAGCAGGTGGGGGTCTCCTTAGGGCCCATCCCTCTTGTGATTGTTATGGGTGCAATAGTACCTGATGACCTGATGAAGTAACACCAGTCTCTCACCTGTCGCTGCTCCCAGTGCCTAGCGTTCCGTGATGTAGCCCCTCAGGCTCCTGTGCACTTTCTGGTCATTCCTAGGAAGCCCATTCCTCGAATCAGCCAGGCTGAAGAAGATGATCAGCAGGTGAGGAGGACAGGGTCAGGGGCTTGTCTGGGAGGAGCCCTGGTTTAAGCTAGAGGTTTGACTCCTACAGGGGGAGCCACCTCTGTCATTCCCTTAGCTTCTAGGACACTTACTCCTTGTGGCCAAGAAGGTAGCACAAGCCGAGGGTCTGAAAGATGGGTACCGACTTGGTGAGTGGCTTTTGTCCAGGAATCTCTATTACTCCATGTGGTCTTTTTTAAACCTCTCCATGATCCTGATCCCTAACTTCAAGCTCTGTTTCAGTGGTTAATGATGGCAAGATGGGCGCACAATCTGTATACCACCTGCACATTCACGTACTTGGAGGCCGACAGCTGCAGTGGCCACCTGGCTAAACCTGCCAGCTGCCCAAGGACCACAGGCCTGGATGCTTGGATGGAGAACGGGAAAAGGAATCCTGTGGTGCTAATAAACTTATTCTCCCTCAATTTTGCATCCCTGTCTTAAATATGTACAAATTTATACAAAAAAAAAGGTGAAAGAAAATTGATTCAGGGCTTTGGGCTCTCTTGACCATGGTCAGAATAAAAGATACTAAGGCCCAGTCAGTGGTTAAAGGAGATATGGTGCTGATTTGCTAGTGTCTAATGGTCCTCTAGGTCAAACTACTAGAAAAAAAATCACAATAGAAATTTGCCTGTATGACTAGACAGAGACATGTCTATTGTACCATATTCCCTTCCATTTTGCTGTTATCTTCATCTCTATCTGTGTGTGATAAGGATTGAACCCAGGACCTTGGGTATGCTGAATAAGCACTCCTACCAATGAGCTGCGTTCTCAGACTCTGTTTCGTATATTTTCATCCTTAAACTTTAAAAAACAAAAAACAAACCTGCTCTTCCAACTTAGGGAACGAACCAAACGGGAATTCATATTCATATTGATGCCACCCTGGCTTTTCTCGAATGCGTCCCCATAGTCATCTTAGTCAGAACTAATCAAGTTGGGCTTGGAGGCGAAGGTTCAGATTAGTGGAACCTTAAAAGCCCAGGGGAGGCAGATTGGAGCCGGGACTATTGGAGAGCACTAAGTCTAAGACTTCCGCTCCTGGAGAGCGTTTGTTTATCTCTCCAACCCGCCACCCCCGGGTCCGCCCAGCTCTAGTTGTGCGCAGTCTCCAGGAGTTGTTTGCCGTCTCTATGGCAACCCGGTAGGTGAAGTCTGAAAATGGAGACCACCGAGTCTACAGAGGAGTCTTTGTCGCGGTAAGAGCCTTGGAGAACAAGGAAGGTCAGCGGACTAACTTTGAAGCAGTTTTGACGACCTTGATGTGTTCGTTTCTTTCAGATCTTTTGATGTACAGCCCAGCTCTGAAGGACTAGAGACTTCTTCAGAACCCATTCCTTCTTCGGGTAGCAGTCATAGGCCTGCTGCTCAACCTGCGTTATATGCAAGGGCTCCTGCGCAGTTTTCCGTGCTTACAGAACCCTCCTCTGACAGTCTTTACGAGGCAACCTGCCCTGCATCCCATCAGAGAGGCCACGCATTTGGCTTTCAGCCCCTCTATGTTTCTTATATTCCTCAGAATCCCTGTAATACCGCAGACCTCGGCTCAAGCCCTGATCCTACCTCTTCTTATCCTTGTCATAGCTCTGTTCACAGCTCTGGCTCTGGCCCTTGTGCTCCTGCCCAGAGCTCCGAGCCTAGCCAGGGCTCAGGTCCCACCTCTGGGCCTGTTCCTGCCTCTGGACCTAGTCTTGTCTCTGGACCTGATTCTGCCTCTGGACCCGATTCTTCTGGGTCTGGACCTGCTCTTCCTCCTGGACCTGAACCTTCTGGACCTGGTCCTAAGCCTGGCCCCTGCGTTCCTCAAGCACTCAGATGCATCCCAATAGATCTGCTCCCTAATTATGATACATGGTGTCAGCACTTACACTGGAAGCCACAACACTCCTGGGAGCCTCTACAAGTCTCAGAGCCTGGAGCAAGAGGGCCATGTAAACCTCCAGAAGTTGAATCTGAGGAAATTCTCTGTAAAACACGGCCACGTGGCCAGTGCCTCCTCTACAACTGGGAGGAAGAGGTACGAAGGTTTGGTCTGCTCTCTCTTCCTAAAGGTTTACCACAGTGTCATAGGGAAGCCAATAGTTTGTGATGAGGGTCAGTATGAGAAGGGAACTCACAGTTACTTAACATGGGGTCCACAGAGAGCCACCAACCAGCTGGATCAAATCCCACCATTACAAGATGGCTCTGAGAGTTACTTCTTCCGACATGGACACCAGGGTCTGCTGAGCATGCAACTTCAGTCACCCATGTCCTCTAGCACCACCCAGAAAGACTCATACCAGCTCCCAAGACACGCCTGTCAGCCACTTCGAGGTTTGAAGCATGAGAGACGGGACCACAAAGAGCCCAGTAGACTGAAAAGGGAGACAGGACTTCCTGGTGGGGTTGTGGATTGTTTGGTGGCTATAAGGGTGAACCCTGAGATTCCCCTTCTTTTCTCAACTCATTTCTGAAGCTCATTTCTTGACTAGATTCCTCTTCTGTCCTCCCCCAGGGAAGCGTGAAGCCATGCTGGAGATGCTCCTGCACCATCAGATCTGGTGAGAGCCTGGGAAGGGGGGAGGGGGAGGAGAGAGACTGGGAATGGCCTTGACCTCTCCTATGGCTACATAGTAAAGAGGTGCAGACAGAGCGGGAGCCTACAAGGAAGCTCTTTGAGACGGAGTCAGTAACACATCATGACTACAGAGTGGAGTTGGTACGAGCAGGGCCTCCTGCCCCAACAAAGGTGAGAACCCAGCCTGCCTCGTTTACAGAGCTCGGCTCTGCCCAGGAGTGGGAAAGCAGCAAGCCTAGAAGTTTAGAGAGCACCAAAGGCCAGGAGTTACTTAGTATCTCTTCCCTCACAGCCTCATGATTACCGTCGGGAACAACCTGAAACCTTCTGGATACAGCAAGCAGGACGACTACAGGTGTGTGTGGGTGACTAGGTGCTGGGGTGAGGGAGAGGCTCTTCTGTCCTGGCTTGGGGAAAGGTGGCATCTGTCCTGATCCTGGCAATCCTCCAGGGTGTCAGTGACATCAGGACACTGGATACACCATTCCGGAAGAACTGCAGCTTCTCAACACCAGTGCCCTTGTCTCTGGGGCAGCCTTTGCCTTACGAACTGGAGAACGGCCCCCACCAAATGGGGGTAATGTCTTCCCTTGCCTGTCAGGGAGGAGGGCAGGGGTATGGAAGGAAGTGAACAACTCCAGTCTAAGAATTGAGGAGGGAAGCAGACATGGGGTTTGGAATCTCTTTCTGTTTATACTACAGAGGTAGTTTGGATGGAGTTGATTCTCTGTCCTTGATGAGAGGTTTTACATAAAGCACTCTCATCCTGAAGCTGCTGATTCATTGCTTCTTTGAGTAACTGTGTCCACACCCAGTATTCTTCTCTTGGGATGGCCTGGACCTCAGACAATGACACCATGATTTGTTGTTGTTTTATACTTGGACAAAATATTCTGGTCTAGATACAGATATTTACAGAAGGCAGGAAGAGGACCAAGCCAGGGAGAGACAGGTATATGTACAAGGCTGAGCTGCAGAGGGCTATGACTTCCATATAAGGCAGGGGTTTTGTGTGTATGCATATTTTCCATCTCATATGACTTCTGTTTCTGTTGTGTGGAGACACGGTGACCATTGCCCATCCACGTACCAGCAACAAGAGATGGTCTGCTTGGAGTTTACAGGAGTCCGGGTGGTCCCTTTCGCTCTCCTAAGAGCCAGTAAGTTCGCATTTTTCCTTTTCCCTGGAGTCAGGGGAATGAACATAGTTCAGACACTTCCGTGTTAGTGCTTCTCTTCCCCTACCTTCATCCTCCCATCATCCACTCCCCGTGGCCTGCCATCACCTTCATCTCCACATCCCCACGGAGCTCCAGCTGGAAGCATCCTAGCTCATCCAGGGCATCCTTGGTGGTCGAGGAGACATGAATCTTTAGAGCTAGGGTGATGTAGACCAGGAGCAGAGGAAGAAAGAAGAGTCAAAGAAAGGCCGAGAGAATTATCAGTGCTGGAGAGTGTTTTACCCAGTCAGTCACCCTTCAGAAAGCTCCCAGTCCTCCCAGAGCACATTTATAAAAATCAACATATGCCCAAGAATGGGGCACTTCAGAACTCTCCAACAGAGAGCTATGGAGGAACTCTGGAAAGAAAAGATCAAGACAGATCCCGGTCAAGTTTGGAGTTAAAAGCTGCTGTCCTCACCTTGACCATTAGACTCCATTCGAGAAGCAGTGTTTACTGTGTCTCCAAAAAGACAGTACCGGGGCATCTTCAGGCCAACAACCCCAGCACAGACTGGCCCTATAAAAACAAACTGGTTGGGAGAGATCCAGAAAAGTCGACACTAGGGCCAGGGATTTTTATTTACAAAAATAAAATAAGACTGGGAATGTAGCCAAGCAGTAGAACAGCATGGGGAAAGCTGTGGGTTTGAGTCCCAAACTTTCCAGAGAGGGAGGGAGACATATAAAATAAATAGGAGGAAATCAGCCTTACCAGTATGGACGCCTATGCGTAACCTCAGCTGGTCATGGGGTCGATGACGGATGCGGAAGGAAGAAACTGCATCCAGTAATGCTAGGGCCATTCGAGCAATTTCTGGTGCATGGCGCTGACCATTTCGGCCCGGAAGGCCAGAAACCACCATGTAGGCATCCCCAATGGTTTCCACCTTTTTTAAAGGGAAGATTAAAAGGTCACCTGTGGGCTCTGTAGTTACAACACTGACTGCTCCCCAGAGGACCTGAGTTCAGTTCCCAGCACCCACTTAGCAGCTCAAACTCCCTCTAACTCCAGTGCTAGGGAATATGTCACCCTCTTATGGCCCTCATGAGCAATTGCACACATGTGCCACATACTCAGATAGATACACACGCATAAATAAAATAATAAAACTAGTTTTAAGAGGTCATCTCTAGTTATATCCGTGAGACTGAGAAAGGAGGTAAGCTGGACAGCAGGCGTCATCCTGACAGCTGAGAGCCCATGACTAACTAGACAGATGAAGGACTCCATGCCATGGCCCTGAGAATCTGGGGATAAGAGGAGGCCAGACGGGGATACTCCTCCTCGCCACCCCAGCACCTGGTGAGTCTCAGTGGCATTTGCTGAACAAATGGACAGGATCACGGTCCTAGTCCAAAGAACCCAGAGGCACAGAGAAGGTAGAGCATGCTCAGTAGCACAGACCAGACATCCTGACTGTCAGAGGGACAAAGCAGCTCTCGATGCTGGTGACTGTACCAACCTGTGGTGCACAGTGAAGTGTGTAGGGAGCCCACACTAAGCATTTAGGGATAAAGGGGTACTGTATCTAAAGCTTACTCTTAAATGGTCCAGAATGTAATGATGTGAATTTAAAAAAAAATAAAATAAGACTGGGGATGTAGCCAAGCAGTAGAACAGACCAGCATGGGGAAAGCTGCGGGTTTGCATCCCAAACTTTCCAGAGAGGGAGGGAGACATATAAAATAAATAGGAGGAAATAAAAATAATTGATGAATTTGAGTAGAGGATTTATTGGAATTTTGTTAGAGAAACATCAGTAAGTTTTATAAGATCCTCACTTATGTTTAGATAGGGTCTCATTGTATAGCCAACGCTGATCTTAAACTCATGGTGACAGGCAGGAATCACTGTGCCCAACACTATTATCTGCCATAAACCACACTCTATGTTAGGAACTAAAAAAAAAAAAAAAAGGTCTCACATTTATCTGTGCATGCACACACACACATGCACAGGAATGTGGGGGTCAGGGGACAACCTGTGGGTGTCAGTTCTCTCCTTCCATCCTACAGATTCCAGGGATCCAGCCGAAACCACCAGGCCTGGTACCTTTACCCACCAATCTCACCAGCCCATCAGTTTGTATATAACGAATCTATTGCTGCAACAACCAAAGCTCAGAGAAATCCTACCTAAGGCCACATAATTAGCTATAAAATCCACCTTCAAATGCAGTACATTTACTCCCAAGGGCAAGTAAGCCAAGTCAGTGACTTTAGCAAAGATCTTTATAACATGCATTCATGTGTTACCCCCAACCCCCACCCCATAGTCAGTCTGTGCCCGTATCCTCTGTGACTGTTCTGGAAGGAGAGACCAGTTAGTTGTCTATATTACTAATACCCCAGAGAGAGAGGGACAAAAGCTTCTGACTGGTCAGGGAAGCCTGGGAACCACGGGTGTTGTGCCAGTGTCCACGTTAGCTAGAATCCCACCCACTAGAGAACACTAGGACGCTGGGGGCGCGGACCGTGGAGTGGGTGTGGTCTGTGGGGTTCAGGAAACTGGGTTCAAATGGGTCTTAGGAGGTCTCCAGCTCTCACCTTGTAGACATCAAAGTTGTCGATTATGGCATCAAAGCAGGTATAAAGGTCATTAAGAAGTGTCACCACCTAACAGGATGGGAAAGCAGAGGCTCTGAAAGTTGTGCCCAAGTTCCTAATAATTCTCAAGCCGAAAGACAAAAAAAAAAAAAAAAAAAAAAACTCTAGGGCAAACTAGTCCAGCGAGGCTCCCGGGACCCAGCACCACCCATACCTGCTCATGGGTCTCACCTGCATGGGGGTGCTCTCAGCTGACAGTGCTGTGAAGCCCACGATGTCACTGAAGTAGATGGTGACACTGTCAAAGGCCTCTGCCTGAACTGTCTCTCCCCGTTTTAACTGCTCTGCCACAGAACTAGGAAGCAAGAGGGTACCCTCAGCCCAGCTCCAGGAAAGAGAGGGAAGGAGAGGGTGGGGTATGCGGCTACAGCACAACCAAGCTGTAGAATGAAAAACGGCTTTGGTGGAAGAAAAGGAGAATGGCTGAGAAGATGCTGCCTAGCCTAGTGCACACTGGGGTGTGCAAGTGGCGGGGAATTGTGAGGGGACCCACGTGGGGCTGAGCGGTTCCAGTTGAAATCGTTCTGCATACACTTGCTCAGGCAAAGGTGAGGAAGAACAGTGCCCCAAGAAGGAGGGACTGGAAGCTGGACAGCACATCTCATTTGGAGACAACGTGAGAGCATTTAGCCTGTAGCCAGGAGGGCTTACTGTGGCAAGACATCACATGGTAGGGTTCCCAGAGTTGCAAACAAATTCTCAGAAGATATATGAGACAGAACAAAAGGAAATTTTTGGAGAAGGGGAACAAAGGTCTTACTGGGGTAGAATCTGGTACAGCAGAGCCTCAGCTTTGCGTTTCTCCTCCAGATAGGCCTGTGTGCGTTCCTCTACCAGCTTTTCCAGGTTATTGGCATACTGTTCCATGCGCAGCAAGAGGTTGTCCAATATGCTGGTACCACCCTCCCTGCAGGGAGGCCAGGATATCACACCTGCTCCAAGGTCCTCAAGACTAACAAGGCTTCCTATGCAACCCACCCTTGGGGCACACCAGCCTCATTCACTAAGAATGATAAGGTTTCTGTCCCTGGGAGCCTCTGAGCCTTGATGCCCTCTCACTTGTTAAACCGGCGAATGAAGCCCTTGATTTGCCCAAAGTCTGGACGTTCTGTTGGGTCCTGGGCCCAGCATCTCTCCATCAGCAAAACTAACTCTTCATTCAGTTGTGTCCGGTCAATGCTTGGCCGGAAATACGGCCTCTGACCATTTCGCACCTTCTGGACAATCTCTGAGAGTGACAGAAAGTTTGGATGAAGACTCAGGTTCCCCTAGCAGAAGAGACTGTGCATAGCAATGGACTCTCTCACCTTTGGGACTGAGGTCCAGGCCTTCCAAGTAGAAAGGACCACTGCGAAGTGCTATTTCCTGTAGAATGATCGCAAAGCTGTAGACGTCTGCCTTCTGCATTCCTGTGGTTGGCAAGGGGTTCCCACTAAGCAGTTCTGGAGCAGTCCACAGCTTCTCTGCAAAGAGTGAACAGGCTGGCTAGTTTCCCCAAATGGCATCCTGGATTCCACCTGGGCTCATCCCCATGTTACAGTTACTAGTCTGCCTCTTACATCTTCCCTGGGAGGGACTGACCAAGGCTTGAAGGGTAGCATAAAAGGTAGGTGGCAGGAAGAGGAGGTGTGGGGGAGGGAATGACATGTGAGGTAGGGGTGACATAGGGAGCAGTCTCACTGGCGTAGAGGGCATGGCTGTCGTCGGGTTCAGCAGTTGATCGGAAGCTAGCCAGACCATAGTCTGTTATTTTGAGCACAAATCGACTATCCACCACACAGTTGGAGGACTTGAGACTTCCATGAGATGAAATAATGCTGTTGTGGAGAAAGGCCATACCCTGCAGGGTACAGAGTAAGTGTCTGGGTCATATCTGGCTTAGGCAACCCCAGTCCATGGCACAATCCAGCTAAGTGCATAAAGCTATTCAGACCACCAACC